TTCCTTGTAGGCCTCGGGGTTGGGACGTGGTGCTCCTGCAACTACTTAAGCCTCTTTGGTGGTGATGTACGTATCTTTTAAAGGGAGGGGGACGCTGGCCTTGGGTTCGCTTTTTCCTCTTCCGCTCCGCTGCCTTCATTGCTGTGCAGATACCGCTGGGAACGAGGTTGCTGTCGACTCTCCGGGCCTCGGAGCCCCTCGCCTGCTTGCTACGATGGTAACTATGCGGAGGAAAGGGGAATGCGCACACACACACACCGTGCTAAGCCTCAGAAACGGGGTTCTTGTTGCTATGGTAACGTTATGGGGGGCATTACCAGCACACGGTTGTGTATTTTATAGGCCGCGGGTAGATAAGAGTTTATGTTTAAAAAATTTTAAAAATCAATTGGGGAGGGAAGATATTATTGGGGGGGACGAAACTGATAGGCGCGCATGGCGACTAAATTTGCCGCCCCAAATTTGCGGGCCTTGGGGCCGGCCTACTTTACAGAGTTAAAAGGGGGCACATCTGAGGGTTGCGAGAGGGCGAGTAATGGGGGGCGAACGCCCGGCTGTTGCTATGGGAGCGTTCTAGTCGGTTGGGGGGAGCCGTCCTCGCGGCTATAAAAGTGGTGGGTGGGAGAGACTAGCGTTACTCTTTTCTCGGAGTGGTGGGGTCGCGCTTACTCCTTGAGCGAAACTCGGGGTGCCGTTAAAGGTTGGCTGGGCCTAGCTTCAAGGATTGAATCTTGGCCTAGAAGTGTGGAGCTATTTGGGTGTATCCTGTAGGTAGCGAGATGGCTGCGACCACGTCCACTGGGGAGGGAAAGCCAGGAAGAGTAGTAGTAACTTCAGCTGGAAGTTTGGGTATGTTTGGGGCCGGTTAATTAATTAAAAGGTGTTCAAAGGAGGGGCGGGACTGTTCCTCTAGATCTAAGTTGGATGAATTCCTGTTTGTTTCAATGAGTGGATTTGGAATGAACAATTACTTTTAAGGGCTGATACTCCCAAGTTACTACTTTGGGAGGGTGTACGTTCCACCTTTTAGTGAAAATGGTTTGTAATGTATCCAGGTGTTTCCCACAGATACTTAGGTCTCAAAGACCTAGTTTATATTTATTACCATTAGGAGCAGCCAATAACTGAGAAATTTGTAAGCCCTATATCAATGTTGTATCTTAGAAAATTAGGTTAAATGAATGTTAACAATGTATCTTTAGAAATGGAATGGATGAGTACAGTAAATGTACTTATGAAAAGAACAGAAAAAGTTTGATGGCTTCATATAAAACTTAATAGGTTTATAAATTAAAAGGGGATTGTTTTTTCATATCAGTGCTTGAAGATGACTTAGCTAGCTTTCTTCAGTTTGGTACCCTCCACATGTATTACAATGGAGTTCTCCAGATTCCTAGAAAGTATGGTATGCTGTTTGGAAATCTGCAATTTGTAATCCCAGCACATGTGGAATTACACTAAATTAGAGAAAGCTGAAAGGAACACTTCTCCACTAACACACTGCTTACCACTACCACCCATCCTTCAAACTGGATTAATTTCTCAATTTCTTTTTTGTCAAAGGTTCTGATGGGAATGCAGAGGAGTAAATAATTAGGTCTCCTTAAAATATTATATTATTGTAATTTAGGAAAGGATTTATTTAAACATTCTCTATTCCCAAATTCATTTTCTTGGATGTTACATCATTTGCAGATTTTTTCTTTACATAATTAGAAGCTACCTCTGTAAGGCTTTGGTTCATAAATTCATTAGACATTCCCCTCTAGTAGTATACCATTCTGATCATCTCAGTTATTTGCATCCATCTATTAAAATATTTGAAAATAAATATAAAATCTCAGAAAGACTTAACAAGAATAGAGGGAATAACCGATGCTTGGTGGGGATGGGGAATCTTAATCTACCATTTGAAGTGCCAATAGGATGAAGTGAATCTTTTTAGATAGGGAATTCCAAACAGACTGCCCCATAATCCAGAGTAAACCTAGCTCTGATGTTGGCAGATCTTAGAGGTAAACTTGTCCAGAAAATGTAACTGAACCTATAGCCTTATATGGGAGAAAACAGTCCTTTAGGTATTTGTTGTACTACATGGTGTTAAATTATAACAAAAATACTCCCTGTTTTTATAATGGCCACTGAACTTTAACAATATCCATAGATGGTTTTCTTCTACAGCAATCTTCCAGAGAAGTGATATAGGAGTAAAATAAAAAGCAAAGAGAATAATTGGTATGATGTCATTGTGCATTTTTTTCTCTCTCTCTCTAAAGGGCATTTGCTGCCCTTCAGGAATATTCCTCCTAAGCATGTGCTAGATGCTGAGTGATTCAGTGCCTTATCATTTGTTGGGGAAATGAAAATAGAATAAATCTGGGAATAAAGTGTTTGGAAATGTATGAATCAGTCAATCTGATACCTCTCAATTATGCCATTTTGCTTAAAATCAGTTGTTCACTTATTTCATTGAAACTGTTCATGCAAAATTTTGCTGTCACCTCCATTTCTATAACTGTCACTTCCATTTCTTAGTTCTATAACTAAGATGTTCTCTAAAGTTTGCAATAGTATAGTGCCTTAAATGATGCATGAATTTCGGTTATTCCCATGAATAAAACTAAAAAGTTTAAAAAAAACCTCATGATTGGTGAATTGTTCTGACAGATGGCTAGATCCACAGATTCAGCTATTTTTCAAAACTTCCTCTGGACTTTGCCTGTGTAAATGGATTACAGTTCACTTCAGGATCTGCTGCCTGCTTTGCCAGGATTCCCATTATGGGTTTGCCCAAGCAAAGCAGGAGTGACTTTTGACAATGCTCCAGCTTTGCCTGCATAGGCCTTACAAGCTTTAAACAATGTTTCTGCTTCCTTCTAAATTGCTGGTAACCCATAAAGATTCACAGTGCTTTTTTTGGAGAGAAAAAAAAAAGGTGCTGGAACTCATACACATCATACAACCTGCCTTGCCTACCCTACAAGGTTCCATCCAAAAAAGGTGCCGGAACTCCGTTCTGGGCGTTCTATGACAAAAAAAGCCCTGAAGATTCACAATACACATTTTGAGAACCTTGTGCTATCATTGTTTAATACCCTAACAATATGTTCCTGGTAGAGCTGACTAGAATTTAATCAGTAGAAAATGAAAAGTAAAAGCTTATTATTAACCAATCACGGTCTCATTTCTGTTGCACTCTAAAAAATTTAGAGGTTAATTAATAATTATACAATGGAGGACATAAAGTTAACTATTTTGTTTATGAATATATTTGCATTTTAAATTTTAAAAAGGATACTTGCTATATTCTAGTTATTTCCCAAAGATAATGTCAATTTTAGAGGGAAATGTGATTAAGAATTGAATTTCTAAGAACATGCAATTGCTAGTGTGCGTATAAGATCATTTTGGAGTTGTATCTTATACAATTTCATATATCGGGTTGCTTATGTGCCTTTTGTTGGAACTTGTCCCTCCCAGATAATTGAACATATGAATGAAATGAACATATCAGAAGGGAGTCCTTCAGTCTTCTGCCTGAAGGAGCTATCTGTTCTATTTCTGAATATTTTGGATAGTAAAAGCAAGTCATGTTTTCTGTGGTTTGATGTGAAGAATAGTTAATGATGAGCAATGACAATATTTGATATATTCCTTTGTTGCAAGGAAATATCTGATAGGTACGACCATATTATGGTACTCTACGTACATATACAATTGTATTATTTCTCTGCAGTTATGCTATAGATCTGTAATTAAACCTCCTTTTTCTATACATTTGTTTTTTACAGCATTGGTCTGCAGTTGGAGTTCAATAGCTCCAGCTGGTCTGTAGTCTTTTGCTATAGTAATGGAGATTTAAGGCACTTTTAGACTAAGCTAATTTGTTTAAATATGCTATATAAACTTAGCTGTTGCAGTTTATAAACAGCTTTTGGCTTAGCATGTTGACTGAACCCAGTCAATTATTGTTTATTTAGTAAACCATAGATAATTGAACTGAATAAGTGATAAGTGACTAAATTTGAAAAATCCATTGGAAGTATGTTCATTTAAATGGAGAAAGTAATTGTACCACATTCTTATAGTTGTATAATATACATATATAAAAATGAATGTAAAGAACCAGTTTGGTCTAGTGGTTATAGCACCAAGTTAGAAGGCAGGAAATTGTAATTTCAACCCATGGCTTAGCTAAGAAAGCAGCAGGGTGACTTTGGGCCAGTCACTGTCATCTCACAGCAGGGTTATTGTGGGGAAAATAGGAGGAAGATATGTTGGGTATGTTAACCACCTTCAGTTATTTGTAAAAATAATGAAGACAGAATACAAATAAATAATAAATTAATGCACTAACTAAACCTGAACAAAAGAATATTTAACCTTATAGAAATGCAAATGCTACTTTGATATATCTGTTCTAGTGGTATCACTATAAATTAATATTGGACCATGAAAATCCCTTATGGGTAATTATGTAAACAAGTTCATATCAATCCAGTAATTAGAAGAGTATTGTCTATTCTTAAAGTGTTCTATGTTCTTTATTAGCAGATATGATGGAAGAATTGCATAGCCTGGATCCACGACGGCAGGAACTGTTAGAGGCCAGGTTTACTGGAGCAGGTGTTGCTAAGGTTAGTTATGTGCATAACCAGTTGGCTAATTGTATGTACATCTCTTCATGTTTTGGTAACATTTTATTAGATGGGAATATGTCAAATAGGGATACAGTCAAGATCCACATGATCATATTTCACACAAAAGAAATGATTTAAAGTCCTATTATCAACCTGTTGATTTTAGTGATAAGTATGATAGTAATGGAACTTGCCCAAGCCATATAAGTTGATGGTTTACTGAGCTGCATCTTCAAAATCAAGATAGTTGTGACTAGCCTTTTTAAATCACACTCTAAACAAGACTTGTGTGATTAGTAAAGGGGAAAGGGCCACATAGATAAAATAAAACATTAAAAATGTAGCTAAAATTCAACTTACAAATGCCAAAATAATTAAAGTAACTAGCTGCATTACCACATCCTCCAAAATTCATTCTTACAGGCATCCTCCAAATTTTCAGAATAAATTATCATATACAGTAGAAGTACCACTTTATAGACAGCCTGTACCAGTGATTGACAGGTTTAGCTGTCATGAAATAAAACCTAATATCTAATCAAAAGTCTCTATGTAGTTGTAACTTATTGGTTCTAGACCTGCCATCTCTAGTAGATGGGTCTACTTTCTCAGCAATATGACAACCCTATCTGAAACTTAACATTCTTTTAAGCAAACTAAAATAGTTACTTTTACTATTCCTTTTAGAACTTGGTTTCTAGTCTCCAACTTTGTCAAATTTCTTTTAGTTTGTCAGTGCTCATTTTACACTGCTGTGTCCAGAACAGTATTCCAAGTAGGGCTTGATAGAGACAGAATAGAACGAGACAATTACATCCAGTTGTCTAAATTCGGTGCTGTTAGTGACTATCAAACTGTTAGCTAATACTCAATGTGTGTTTTGCTAGAAGATTCATATTATTTTCAGAGTTATATTATCAAGGTGGATTTCCCCCTTTCATTTGTTTTCTCCCAAGTTGCTATCATTTACTTTTCTCCATGAAATTTGACCCTATTCATTTTAGCCTGTTCAAGCTTCTATTTTTTTCAGTTTTCTAAAGTGTTAACCACTTTTTTGTGTGTGTAACATACATTTGATAATCCCATTTTTTAACCTCTTCATCCAGGTTATTAATAAAAAAGTGTTGAATAGCAGATGATCTGAAGTAAAGTGCTATGGTATTCTGCTTAATAGTCATTCAGCCAGGTAGAAATTCATCTTAACAATATGTAACTTACCCTATAGTCTACCACATATTTTACCATTTTATTAATAAAGGTATCATATGAAACTTTGTGGAATACTTTGTTGATCTTATAAAAATAGCATTGCCTAATTTGTTAAATTAGTACTGTTAAGAAAGATAAAGGCAAGTCTGTCATTAATTGTTTCTGATGAACTCATTCTGACTTTGTTAATTGATACAATCTTACCTGAGTGCTCACAAATATGTAATAATCTGAGGACCTTGCCCAGTAATTGACATCAGGTTGACAAGTCTGTAATTTCCTAAATTCTCCCCTATTTTGAAGAAAGGGATAATATTTGTTCTCCTTTAGTTATAGGAATCTTGCAAGTTCTCCAGGAGTTCTCATAGATCACAGTTAATCAGTCTGCATTCATTTCTGGTCGTTTCTTTAGTACCCTGGAAAATAATTTATCTGGTCCTATATATTTTAATTCATTTATATTACCAGTACTTTACAAAAAGTGGTTCAAAATTAGATAGTCTACTTTAGGTTGTTTATTAATATATTGTTGGGAAGTTTACTACAGATTTCTGATTCCTCTCCATTTCTGATTCCTCTGACCGCTCTTAACACCATAATTATCTGAACAAGAAGTTACCACAGCATATAACTCAAAAGTCATATGCTGGTAAAATTGTCAGTAAGATATCATTCTAAATCAGGCATGTCAAACTTGTGACGTCACATATCAGGACTTTTTCCTCATTGCCAGCAATGGGGTAGGCGTGATTTCGGCGTGATGCATCCGGCCCATGGGCCGGCAGTTCTAAATGGTAAAAACTCTAATGGCAATAATGGATTCAAGAAGGTCATGGTCTTGGTTGTCTGAAGGTTAACATTCTTTAAAATGATTAAATCTCAAACATCCAGATCAAAGAACTAACAGTGCCTCTATGTGTTATACTAGAAAGAGAGATAACAATCTGAATTGTTATACTTTATAGTTTAATTATCAGTGACTTTCATGGTGAAATATGCAGTTGATTTAAAGAAGAAAAAAATCCCTGTTGATAACACACTTTTGTTTCCTTTACACTAGGGTCCTTTGAACAATGAATCTTCCAATCAGAGTTTGTGCAGTGTGGGTTCCCTGAGTGACAAGGAACTGGAGGTAACTAAAGTGATATTTTTCAAATAATCCTCATAGATGAGTTTAGCCCAGAATGTCAGCCACTAAGTGATGTGGTTATTAAGCAAGTCCCACTACATGACCAGACCCAATTTTATGGCGACTATGTGCTTATTGAACAAATCACTGTAGACATTTAAGCATACTATTGGAATCATTAAATGAATCACACAGTCTTTAAGTGAATCTGGCTTCTCCAATTGACTTTGCTTATCAGAAGCCAGCTGAGAAGGTTACAAATTTTGATCATGTGAGCACAAGATGCTGCATCTGTTGAAAATGTGAACCAGTTGCTAAGTGGCTAATTTGCGATCATATGACCACAAGGCAATGTGACAGTTGTAACTCACCTTTTCCAAGGCTGTTGTAATTTTAAACAATCATAAATGGAGGACTGCATATATTGCAGCTAACTTTGACCAAAAAGTTTTAATTTAATCTTTGACAATAAAAAATGGTGCTTAATTCAGGACTATTGCAGCAACTTAACTAAATAATTAATTTTCACTAATCAGTAATTGGTTATTTGCTGAGTATAGTATTCCATAATTACATTTAAAAATACAAAAAAGGAGAAATGTAACCTGTTTTGAAAGTTAAAATACCTGTGGAAGAGTTGTTGATAACCATATTTCATTTTTTAAAAAGTTGTGACCTTAAATCCTTGGATATTTGTAGAAAATCATTTGGGATTTTTTTGACTCTTTTAAGACTCCTGAAAAAAAACAGAATGATCAGCGCAATAGGAAAAGAAAAGGTGAACCATTTGAAACCAGTCAAAGTAAGACTTTTATTTAGGATCTCTAAAAAATTGATGGCTTTCTGCAGATATATACAGAACATATGCAACAATTTTCTAATATATCATGAAATTATTATGATATTAGATAATAAAATTATATAATATATGCTATATTTTATTTTGGAACATTTCTTGGAAAAGTTATATTAAAATGGGCTATATTGCAAATAGTAATTGAAGAATGTTACTTTAAATTGTAATTGATATTTAAGTAAATGTGTCTTTTCTGCTGTTTATTTTTTCTATAGCTATAATACGTTCATAAAGTGCAACCAGAAGCTCTTAATTTTAAGTTGTATTCAGCAGCATTTGCATATTTCTCTGGTCTGCCATTGTTGCTCTTGTATTGAATTGTTTCTTTAATGTCTTCCTCATATATGTATGATTATTTTTCTTTCTTTCCCCTTTTCACTGACCAGCTTTGCATAAGTACACATTTTTTTTCTTGCATGTGTCTGTTTTTTCTTTTTCTTATAATATCTTTTTCTATTCCTTTTAGTATTCTTCTAGGAAGAGGCTAGGGGAAACTGAGAGGAAATTTTGTTTTAGTTTATCTGTTGGGAGCTATTTTTGGTTGCATATGTTTCTAGAGTATTATCCATATATACTGATTTATATCTCAAAATGAAGACAATTTCAGTAAAAAAAAGTATTATAGTATTTTCAAAGTATTTAATTTAATATAACATGGTAATGCTGTTTGTTTTTCTTTCCAGGCAAAATTACTCCCAGAGGGCATAAAATTAGTGACTACTTTGAGGTAAGCCCATTTTGCAACTTATATCAAAGAACTTTGTGTGTGTGTGTGTGTGTGTGTGTGTATGTTGAATTAGTTTAAGAAACAACCTCCAAATTCTATGTATACTTCTCAGTAGTAGGCCCTTGAAAATATATGATTAAGTTTTCCAGGCAATTTGTCTTGATTACTTTCTTAATCCCTTTGCAGACATAATTTGGTTGTACTTCTACATTTGACCTACTGTACAGAACATTCCTGAAGTAACTGATTTTTTCTTTTTTCTCCTCCCTTGCTTTAGTTTGCTGGTGGAAGTGGTCCAGGAACAAGCCCTGGCAGAAGTGTGCCACCAGTAGCGCGATCTTCACCACAACATTCCTTATCTAATCCTTTACCTGTAAGTACCTAATAGGATAGAGTAGTATCCTGAGAATTTTCCGAGCACATTTATAGATCTGTTAATATGTATATGTGATAGAAACAGTGCAGATCTTCTAGAATTATATAGTAGAATCTCTTTGCCTTCCTTTCCTGTCCTTCTATGTTAATTCTCAGCTTTCATTGTCTGTATAACCCAATTCTGACTAGGGCTTAATTAAGATCTACTTCACGTAACTAAGTCATATAGTACAAGTGTGAATAAATGTTATTAAAGCTGCAATCTGATACTGACAAATCCATATGTTGGTTTGTTGTAAACGGACTTGTGTTAAAAGGAATGAAGGTTCACCATAAAGGAAAATAAATGCCTGTGAAGTTGACTTTTGATAGACTTATCTTTCTGTCTCTGCTATTATGAAATATATGTATTTTGCCTTTCTTAAAAAGATTAATCTTGGAAGTATGACTAGCAAGTGTTTTCATAGCTTATTCAAAGAAATGAAGAAGAACATTCATTATTATCACATGTTAGGCAAAATGTTTTAACATGCAGGTATGTAGTACACGAGTATATTTGCTAAAATATTCTATCCTGTATATGCATGGTCATAGTTGACAGCTCAGTTCTGAAGTTTCATATTGCAGCTACCCTTTGTGCTTATTGTCAGGATTTTTGCAATGATTTCCTACATGTGCCTTTCAAGCAGAAGGTGCCATTGGCAGATTTTTCTTAATATTCTGTTTAAACACAGGTTTATTTTTCTCAGAGTCCAGGATGTGGCCCTTTACTAAGCCTACTACCATAAGAAAAGAAATGAGGTGATGGTATTTGAGGATGCTTGTGTAAACACTTTTTTATCTAAATCCATTGTCATATGGTCTTTGTCAAGACCTGAGAGAACTCTTGAGTCCAGTAAATGATCCTAAGGATAGAGGCAGTGGAGCTTAAGAGTATTTATTTGCTGTGTGTGTGTGTGCGTGCATGCACGTGCGCATATGCGCACACATATGCCTGCCTGCTGTCTTTGGCTTCTGTTACTACAAGGAAGCCAAAAGTATAAGGGTATTTAAAAAAATCAGTTTGCTATTGTGGAGAAAAAATGAACAACTTGAACTTCTGAAGAAAAGGTATAATATAATCTAACCAATATATTCTGGGGAAAGATTTTAATGAAATATAAGAGTATAGTGCGTTAGAGTCAATAGGAATATTTAACCTTTTACTATCTGGAAGGGGAGGAGCGTCAATTTATTTTTTAAAAATCAAGACCTCTGTGGCTATAAGACCAGGTGGTAATTAATACTATGAGAAAGAACAAAGACTCTCCCCCAGTGTCCAGTTTATTGGGCCATCTGTGGCTTTAATGAACTTATTTTTTAATCTTATTTTGTTTTAATATAACAAAATCACACAATTAGCAATAGACTATTGGCAATCTGGTTTTGTTAATTTTTGGTGATTCTTGGAGCTTCAGAAATGAAGAATGAAGCATTCAAAAGGTATCACATGAACCTAGGATTCTGCTTCTCAAGCATGCATTTCTAATATAACATTTATAATAGAAAAAACTGATCATTTCATTTTGTTAAGAAAAATGTGGAGAGTACTCTAAAAGTTGCTTTTTTTAGATGTATCTTTCTCCCTAAAAAAAACATTTTACTAGCTTTGTGTCCAAGCTACTGCATGGCTCAATTTTATAACTGTTTCCACATATTTTTATGATGATAATGTATTACAGCGGCGAATGGAGCAACCACTTTACGGAGTAGACAGCAGTGCAGCCAAGGAAGTGCCAGAGGAGCATTCTGCTCTCCCAACTCTGGTATCGACAATGATAGCAAAACAACGGCTAGAGGGCGAGCAGCTGGCGCAGAGGGGTACAAGCCTCTGTTTTCCATTTGCTTCGGTGAGCAAGGCCTAATGACCAAACTCAAGGGTTGGAATGGGACAACTTGCCACAGCTAACTTGCTATGGCCAATTTGCCACAGCCAATTCACCACGGACAATTCCGCCATGGACAACTCACTACAGGCAACTCAGTACGGGGCAATTTAATAGTTCTATTTAATTATTTAAAATAAATAAAAAATATTTTAATTTTTGCCATTCACATTTCATTCTGTCCCTTCTTTTGCATCCTTTCTTTAATGATTCTATTCCACCATTTCTTTGATATTAGTGTAGCGAGTTGTCTTGTGGCAAGTTGGCCGTGGCAGGTTGTCCTGCAATGAGTTGGCTGTAGTGAGTTTGCCACGGCGAATTGTCATAGACCCCTCAAGGGGGGCTGAAAGGATCAGGTATGGTTAGACAGTAGGTAATTTCCACTGCTGCAGTAGAATCTATTTTCTTTCTTAAAATTCTAGTTCTTGATTGCTGCAGTTTATAATAATATAATGGCAAATAATAATAATAACCCCTCCACATAGAATTATTTTGGAATTATCCTTTATTTAAGTACTTATTTTTTGACAAAGATATATTTCTTTCTTCTGCAGTGATCATCTCTCATATCCTGCATATTCCGGCATTTGCATAGTTTCCATGCTTACAGTGCATGATGATGAAACAGTACTTCAAAGGCTCAAAACCTAAATTTCCCAATATATTAAAATTATTACTTCCTATTTTGTAGGAATTTTAGATATTGGAAGTAATGATAAGCTACAGTGTAGTTATTATAAAAAAAATGTTTGGAAGATGAATCAAAATTGTTTCTATAAAAATATGGAATGTTAATTTGGGGCTATTCAACTTTATTTAGAAGCCAACCATTTATTATCTCGAGAAGTTTATTCCTCATCAATCATTCAGTTCCTTCTTTTCTGCAATGCTTTTTCAAATTCTGTCTTGATATATATATTCAAGAGGAAGGGACTTTCATCTTCAAGAACAAAATTAATTTTAGAGGTTACAATTCAAGCCATTGTCACAGAAGCCAGCACTTTGTCAAACTTTAAAAAAAAGATCCTTTCAAAAAAATTATTTGAACTGTTTTAGTGTAAATGTTAATGCAGTTTACATTATTTGTGTGAGCAGAAAAACTTGAACTTTAACACCAGAGTCATAATCCAGGATGAATCATGTCTTTACACAGAAGTTTAAAAAAATATTCCTGATCTCTCTTACTGGATTATCTTTAAGTACAGAACTAGGGAAAAAAATGGGTATGCAACTTGCTGCTTCTTAAGGTTGATCACATACAGATAGTTAGCTTAAAGATTTTTCTTTCAAATAACAGTGGGGAAGAATGTATTTTGTAAAATACTGTACCTACAACTTACATGCTGCATCTCTTCTTATTACAGACCCAGCAAGGTAGTCCCTCGTCTGCAGTTTCAGGAAACACAGAGCATTCCTGCTGCTCTCAAAAACAGATTTCCGTCCAATACAAACACACACAGGTACAAGACTAATGAATAACATAGTGCAAAGTTATATTTGATTGGAATCAAATATATTGTCCATTTGAGAAATAAGTAGAAATATATTCTTGTTTCTCTTTAGATCATGTAAATCTTTCACCTTTTACTAGAAAAAGAAATGGAAACTTAAGATGTAAGGACATAATACAGTCAGAAAAAAATCCAAACTTACTCAATTGTGATTATTCTGTCTAAGAACATTTTAGTTTTAGAGGCTGTCTTGAAGTAAAATAGTCTCTATTGGACAACATATTCCAGAATAATTTTACTTTTGTTCCTGCTCAACCTTCCAACTGCTATCTTGTTCTTTAATCAGCAGCTTCTCCCCTTTGAATGATTAACATAATCTTTTGTTTTGTTTTATCAATGAAAATGTTAGTTCTGTTTTTTTCCCACTTTGTAAAATGGATATTCTGTTCATATTTTGGCTAAAGATTTGCTCATCTTTAGTATACTTGGTATATTTCTGCTTAACTTAGATTTCACAGTTCTTTAAAGGATTCGTTTGCCTGGATCAGGACAATATTGGAACATCTTTCTTTTAAAATTTGTGCCATCTAGGAAGTTCCTTGCTTTCATGTTTGCTGTTGATTGCTTTACAGTTATAACTTTAAATACAAACTCATGCGACAATGTGTTTTAGGAAACCTAGTTTGCCATTTTCAGAATATTTAAAAATCACCTGCTTTTATAAGTGAAAGCCCAAACAATATTATATATTGTTTGCAGTTTTTGCCTTTTCCCAAGGCTAGAACTTCTATTAAACTTTGTTGTTGCTCTGCTTTGTTTCTTTAGATCTTTTGTTTGTTATACTATGTCAGTGATGGCGAACCTTTTAGAGACCGAGTGCTCAAACTGCAACCCAAAACCCACTTAAGCATCGTTGGGTGCCGGATGGGTGTGGCCCATTGGGTGGGCATGGCTGCTGCTGTAACAGCAGAGTGGGTGAGACTAAAAAGTTCAATCAATCAATTCCAACTTTGCAAGATCTTTTTTTCTCCCGCGAGAAGTTGAAATTGACTGATTGAACCTTTTTTTTTTTTTGCACACGGCAGTGGAGGCCTAAAGCGAAAAGACTTTATAAAACCCAGCTGAAGGCCTAGGACTGGGGCGATGGCGTGCGTGCACACAGAGAGGGCTCTGAGTGCCGTCTCTGGCACCTGTGCCATAGGTTCACCACCACTGTACTATGTTATGTATGTTATATTATGCTATTTTTGTCTCTCAAAATTTTATCAACTTGCCAAGTTTTCAAGAGCTACTGTTTTATTTGTAAACTTGTAAACTTTCCAAAGCCATGCAAATATGATGGGCAGTATAGAAATTTCATAAATAAAATATTACGAACCTATAGTAGGTTTGGCTGGATGAGGAAGTAATCGGGGAATCTTAGTCTTTAAGGTGGCTATGCTTTCATTGCAGAATTTTCCTATGCAATATGAGCCTTATCTAATCCAAATCCAATGTGCTCTTACATAAAATGCATAGGGAAAATGAAAACCATGTTCACAGGCAAATTGTAGACACTGTCGTAGTTTCATTGATTTTGAAGCTTCTATAGCATCCCTCTTATGGATTGCATCTTCTGGGAGAATTCCCTTTATTTCACACGTGTTTGTGAGTTTGTGGAAATCAAGAACATAGTACTTGTGTGGCCTGGTTATATGTTTTTTTCCCTCGGAAAGTTGGGAAGTCCAGGCTTAGTTATATTTTTCATCAGATTTTGTTTAATAATAATCTTCCTGGCTAATTGTAAGGCATTCCAATCTTTGATTATGTTACTTTACACAACAGAAATATTTGCTACTTTTTGTGTTCATAACACATTTGACTACTTTGTAAATCATTTCTTAAGAACTCTTCTTTTCCTTCTCAAGTCTGATCTTACAATGGAGAAATTATCTGCATTAGAAAACAGTAAGAACTCTGATCTGGAGAAAAAAGAAGGCAGAATAGATGATTTGTTACGGGTAAGTAGTTGTAATTCTACATCCTATATTCAAATTTCAAGCCATAGAATATAGATAATATGTAGGTAAGAAGTTAAGGGTATTATGTAATAGTTATGTAAATGGAAATAGGCTGTCATGGAGAAAATCTAAGCAATCGCTAAGGGTTGACATTGACTTGATGACATATAATCAGTTACGTGAAAAGCTTTTGATAAGAAGGGAATTGTATCCTCTCTTGATAAATATGTATCTCTAGATTCATTCGAGAGCTTTACAATCTTAATACTCAAACAAGCTCCCTCCTTTCTACACTTCCTCTACAACGTATTTTTTAATTTGAACATCTAGAAGGGTTGTCAGTAATTTACTGCATTAAAAAATACTAAAATAGCTTGTGACACTTAATAAAAAATGTCATTAAATGGATTGTATTCTGATAACTCTTGTAATAATTAGTTTTAACTTGCAAAACATTTTCCTTAAATGCAATCAAATTCTAATATATAAGTTTCTTACAACTGAACAATTATTTTTGATGAAACAGTAATTCTATGTGTTCCAAATAGTTGAGCAATCTGAAATTTTGCTATTGTCTTCTGTATATTCCTGAATACCACATAGAGCATTTTAACCTCAGTTTAGTAGTTTCAGGTGGAACATGTAAGAAAAATCAGTTTTTCAACTGCCTTTCTGTGTGGGAAAATTCCCACATCTATCAAACAAATTGATTGGAATAGCTTGAGCTCTTACAGAATTCACATCTGGGATTTTTTCTTTTGTTATTTATAAATATTGCCTTAATTTCTATCTTTTCTATATTCCTCTCCCTCACCCCAATATGCAATGTTCCCTCCTAGAAAAACTTAAGAATAGTCTGTTTACTCAGTTATGAATTGTCAGTTTAGGGCGGAAAGAATATCTCAAGGGGAACACATTTTCTCTTCCAAGCTATTGTTTTCCTCAAGTTGAGAGAAATTTGTCTTTCAACAAAGAATATTCCATATGGCTAGCTTTAATCTTAGGGTAGAAATCAACACAGTCCCAGTGGTAACCTGCAAGATGTTTTCTCATTCCTTGTCCCCATTATAGGAAAGGAAGGAATTAGATTATATAGCATGCAAAAGTGATCCATTTGAAATATTTGTTAGCTTAGAAAGATGTGTGGAATCATCCATTTCTGAAAGAAACTAATAAAGCTTTCTGAATCCTCTCTTCTTAATAATCTTTTCTTAACATTTTTCTCATACAGTACTATTATACGGCAGTTGCCAAGGACTAGGAAAAGATGGGAAATTTCAAATCTCTGGATTCCTATACACCATCCAATTTCCTTGCATGCCCTTCCCAGAAACATCTGTGGAGTTTTTAAAAGCAGACTGGTCTCAACTGTTAAACCCACACAAACGTTATTTGCCTTTTTCCTTCTTTTATGGCCCAAAATGTTAATTCCTCTTGTGACCTCAAACAGATTCATAAAGCATTAAAATCTAGGTATTTTCATTCTAGGAGAAATCAAGCTTAGACATAAAAAAAAATCTCAACAAACTAAATTACTTTCTGGGTATGATGCCAGGCAGCCAATGAACAATTGGACAAGCTCTTATTGCTTATATGACTGTGGTTTAGTTCAGCCAGGTTTAGTTCAGAGAAGTGAATCAAAAAAAGATTTTCATGACTTCTTCCTAAAATTCTGTAAGTGACTTCATAACAATTTTACTTAATCTTATAATCCCAAAAATAAAAGATATTTTCAAATTAAAATTCCTTAAAGCCATTCAGTATTTTTTTGCCATTAAAATGATAAGATATGGGTAAATTTTATACAATGAAAACAACTATACCGAGGACAAGACGGATATAAATAAACAATATCGAGTAAGTTTATACATTGACCTAATCCAGTACCTGTGGAAAAATTCAGAGTAAGATCATTCTGAAGTCTAACAGGCCAGGGTCATATTGACCTTGGTGCAGGATAGTGTTTCAAAGGGCAGGCATGGCATCTGAATGGAAATGCTCAAATCATTCTGATCCAAAATAATTAAAGCAATCATGAACTCTCTCAGATATGTAGTAACGTCATACTTTGAAAATATTTTCTAATTGCTATTATCAGAGGCATATGTTTACATTCTAGTACAATAGGGACACCTTTGCTACACTTTTACTATAAACATCATCACTAATTGAGTCAGACATACCTTTGTTATTTACTCATCCACATATTTTCTCAGGATGGAGGAAACATTTCTACATGTTTGGACAGCATTGCACTCAGGCAACATCAGAACATAAATGCCTTTTTTTCAGATATCCTTTGCCTATTTGAAAAATCATGGGGGTGATTGCAGAACTGAAGGGGACCTCTAGTTGCTTCATATTTCTGTAGTATTTGGGAGTTGTCAATAGATCCAGTTTAGTTCTACATATTCTGATCAGAAGGGGGGACAGAGGTCGTTAAATGGAGCCTGGAGATCTTATACTTTTTTCTTTTGAGCATAATAGTGTTTTGACAGCCATAGACTGTTGGTCCATCCTTCATAGTTGATAATTTAGCAGAGAAAAGGAACTGGATTGCAGATTGGCATAGTAGAATGTCTGCTTAATAATTCAAGTAGCAAATAAGCCTTTGTAACATTCCCACAAATGGTATACAAGTTTGGACAGCCCGATTAAACTTTTTTGGAACCAGGAGACACATCAAAACATTAACATTCATGTCAGTGTTATATATTTATTTCTTCAATTTTAATGCTTCAGTCTTAAAAGAATCGAGCAGTTATATTATTACTGTGGAAGAAGAATGACAAAGAAAGCATTCTTAGCTGACCTGGAAATTGATCTTGTTTTTTTATTGTTTCTCCAGTGTTGCTAATAATGGTTTCTAAATGTAAGTCGTCTGATTTCTAAAGGAAATAATAATGCTGGGTTGAGTGGCTGCACATTGATTCTCCAGTCCAGGAGGAGCCAGGATGGTTCCTCCACCTGGAGAGGCAGTGACAAAATGGACGTTTCTTTCTTGCTCTAGGAGATATGAATTCCCCTCCTTGAGATTCAAACAATTGAAGTAAATGGTAAATCCAAATTTATTGTATGCATGACAATACTTTTTGTTGTATTTTGTAACTGTGATAGCTTTGATTTTTTTCTCCTTATCTGTGCGAGATAATTGTAACTAATATGGGGTAATTTTTGTTTTGTTCACCTGCTTGATATTTTATTTTCAGGCAAATTGTGACTTAAGACGACAGATAGATGAACATCAGAAAATGCTTGAGAAATACAAAGAACGGTTAAATAGGTGTGTAACAATGAGCAAGAAGCTACTTGTAGAAAAGGTGAGTTATAACCAGCACAACTTGTTTTGAAGTTATATCCCAATAGCCTGCATAATTAGGTTTCAGATAATAACCGTAGAAGTAGTAATAATAATAATATACCGCATAGTTGCATCATCAAATTTTTGGAGTCAACTGGTACTAATAAAAATATTAGAATGTTGAAAAAATAAGCAGTAGAACAGGGGTGTCAAACTCAATTACATTGAGGCCCACATCAGCATTATGATTGCCCTCAAAGGGCCAGTTGCTGTCCCCTTCTCGCCTTCAGGCTTGCTACACAGAAGCCTCTCCTATCCTTTCTCCTCTCCCTCAGGCTTGTCCCACCAACATCTCTCCTCCCCATCACCTTCTCTGCCCCCCCATTCCTCTTTCCCGCCAAAACCCCTCCTTTTATATCATCTTATCTCCTCCCCCATGCATTCACTCACTGCCCAGCTGGCCTTTTCACACAGTGCTTATCAGCTGGAGTTGTGTGCGCTGATTCTGGGGTCCCCACCAAGCCCTGCAGCTCTAGCTGACTCTTCCCTCGAAGACTGTGTGTGGCTGCCGGCCACCCCAAAGGCCGCCCAAAGCCCCGATCAGCTGGAGCTGCACATGCTGATCCGGGGGCCTCAGCAGAGCCCCAGCAACACTGCAGCTCCAGCTGACTCTCCCCAGGCCTCTCTGGCACTGCCACCCTTCAGCTCACACACACACACACACACACACACACACACACACACACACACACTACATACTCAATCACCTCCTCCTACTAGTTGCTTGTGGGCCAGATCTAAACACATCATGGGCTGGATCTGATCTGTGGGCCTTGAGCTTGGCATGTCTGCTGGTAAATATTTAATGGTTAAATAGGTGTGTAACAATGAGCAACTGTGACTGTTGTAAATATGCACTAATTGTTGAGTGGCCAAATCGTGATCACATGATCTTGTGAACACTGCAATGATTGCAGCTTTGAAGACCAGTCATAAGTCTCCTTCTTCAGTTCCTTCATAATTCTAACAAATGATTGATAAGCAAAGAGCAGTTGTATATCCTTTATATAAAAAACTAAAATTGCCAGACATTCAGGAATCAACTTTGTTTGATCAACTTTGTTGTTGAGAATTGCGTTCTTAAGATGGATGACCTTTCAAAGCATATATATATATATATAAATAAATAAATAGGAATACTTTGCAAAATCATTCAGATACTTTACTTTTTTCTTTACAGTCGAAACAGGAAAAGATGGCTTGCCGAGATAAGAGTATGCAGGATCGGTTGCGATTAGGTCATTTTGCTACAGTCCGGCATGGGGCATCTTACACAGAGCAATGGACAGATGGCTATGCTTTCCAAAATTTAATCAAGTATGCATTTTTCTATCATTCTGCTTTCTCCAGAAGCAGAAAAGATTACTGATGATTTAGTTGCTTGCCTATTATATATAATTAGGAAAATGGTAGTCCAAAAAAGGACAACTGGAGTTGGCAGGTCAAGAGTTGAACAAGCCTGTGTCATATCTTCATCGATGCCTTAACTTCAACAATATGGATATCTATTTGACCATAGCAAGTGCATATAGGAGCCTTATTCATATCACTGTCATAAATTTCACCACAGTTTGCTATATGCTTTTGAATGTTATCACTTTTTGAAATAACATAGGAAATAAGTAGATTAAAGTTGTTGTTTTTTATAAATATTTTATTAATTTTGTCGGATTGAGGTTAGGGTTAGGATTAGGGCTGGGTTTTTTTTAAAATAACATTCTTAATATTTAGCAAACAGCATATTATCTGGCTTCATGTATTTAAAAAACAGTAAGTAAGAGTTAATTTCTATATTATAATCAATATATTAATTAATCGCTCAATAATCTTACTAATATATATTTAATGTTACATAGTACATATCATGTACCTTTATCTCTAACTCGCTTTTCTAACCATTAGTAAAAATTATCCCATGTTCTAAAGTACACTGAGTCTTCTTTTTTATCTTTAATGTCAATCTGTCCATATCTGCATAATCTAAAATTTTCTTAATTAGTTCTTCTTCTGTTGGTAAGTTTTTATTTTTCCAATATTGGGCAAATACAATTCTTGCTGCAGTTAATACATGTAAAATTAGATATATACAATCTTTCTCGTATTTTCCTCCTATTAAGCCTAACAGAAACAGTTCTGGCTTGAATTCTATATTTTTAGTCATTTTTTCCAACCATATGTGTATTTTTGACCAAACTCTTTTAGCTTTAGGGCATGTCCACCAGATATGATAATAAGTACCTGGTTTTTGTTTACATTTCCAACACTTGTTTGATGTATTTTTGAACATTTTCGCTAATCTTACCGGTGTTAGATGCCATATGTAAAACATTTTATATAAGTTTTCTTTGTAAGCCACCACTTTCATTAATTTAGTAAGCCACCACTTTCATTAATTTAGTATTTCTTTCCCATAATCTTTGCCAGTTTTTTAATTCTATATTATGGCCAAAGTTCTTTGCCCATGTTATCATTGCTTCTTTTACTTGTTCCTCTTCCATCTTTAAGTTAACAAATATTTACAGAGTTTCTTAATCAATTTTTCATCTGTTTTTAGCAGTATCTGGTCAAATTCTGTCTGTTCTTTATAAAATCCCTTTGTTTTAGCTTCTTTTTTATATCTCGTTTGAACTTGCAAGTATGGCCACCATAATAGATCAGTACCTTGTTCTTGTAAATCTTGTCTGTCTTTCAATTTCTCTTCATTGTCCAAAATATCTTTATAGGTCACAACTTTCTCGTAATTGATTAAATTTGGGTAAGCAAATGCTTCCATTGTTGAAAGCCATCCAGGTATTTTAATATAAATTTTCACTTTTATTTTTTCCCATTCTAAAAGAAGTGCATTTCTTATAAAGTGGTTTTGAAAGTATCTATGTATTTTATTCTTCCCATACCATAGAAAGGCATGCTATCCAAATTGTAGGTCATGCCCCTCTAGGTATACTTTATCTGTAAGCATTATCCACTCTTTTACCCATGTTAATATAGTTGCTTGATAGTATAGCGTCCGGCAGTCCAAGTCCTCCACTTTCTTTCGGTTCTTGTAGCATTTTCAGTCTAATTCTAGCTTTTTTTTTCCTTGCCAGATAAATTTCAGTATTGTTGTATTTAGTTCATCAAAAAGGTTTTTCCAAATCTTATAGGTATTGTTTGAAATAAAAAGAGTATTTTTGGTAAGATATTCATTTTCACTGTTGCTTTTCTCCCCAGCATTGAAAGTTGTAAATTTTTCCACTTTTCCAGATCCAATTTTATTTGTTTTGATAATCTTACATAGTTGTTTTCTTTTATTGTTGCACATCTTGCTGTTTAAGGTTGCCATTACACGTGTTAGTATGATAATTGATGAGTATAACTTATAAGTATCTGAAATATGAAAAAATAATTAAAAAAAACTTTTAATTCTGTAACTGCAAAATCCAGGTCTTATTTTGTAAATAAAGGTACATTTTTATGCAGAGATTCCTTTGTTGTTAAGCAGACTAGAGGGAACATTTCCTTCTCAAAGATTGCAACCCATGATAAACATGAGACAATGGATGTTTGGTGTTTGGGGATATAAATCCAGATTTATTTACGCAGTTGGGTGCAAAAATTCAGGTATCCCTGATCAAATTTAAGACTAGAAGCTGGTGAACATCTGCATGATAAATATAAATCTCTTTCTACAGATTTGCATTTGCACATACTTAGCTATGTGTAATTGTGTACAGATTTTAAATATGAAAATAAAGCAGCTGCAAAAAATTGGATAACTTTCCAGTTAGCACTTTGTAACATCACCTTTGGTAAAAATAACAGCTTCCAAAAATTTCCTATATCCAGTTAAGTATTTTTCTAGACTTAATTTTGGATTTTTCCTCCTACTCTTCCTTGCAGAACTCCTCTAGTTCAACAATATGATAAGCACAGATTTTGTTGGGCTGATGGAACTGTTTTGTTTTCCTACTCCTCAAATACCTTATATCTCAAAAGGGGGAAAAACAACTAGGCTTCTTATCATGCATAAAATAACTGGTTTCTTATCTGGTGTGCAAGACAGAAAAGAAATACAAAGGAACTGAACTCAGCAACTGATAACAAGGCTAAAAATATTTTTTTTCCACAGAGGAGATAAAAGCAGTTGCCGTGTCCCTAAAAATTAGCCTCTTCATTTGAAAAATGTCTGCAACTATGAATACTTTTTGAATTTAAAACCAAGGTCCTTGTGATTATTTGTTAGAAACTGGATTTACCATTTATTCTTTTGCTTGATAATAGCCAGTTACATTTCCAAAGCCCAAGCTTCTAAATATTTGGTCTTCTAAAAACTGACAGATTACCAGAAATGCACTGTTTGGATGTGGCTAACTGAGGATGTAGAAGATCAACCCCCTTATGTGAGATATATTATTTTATGTTCTCTAATTATGTCCATGTTATACTTTTATTTAGGCAGCAAGAAAGGATAAATTCCCAAAGGGAAGAAATAGAAAGGCAACGGAAGTTGTTAGCAAAACGAAAACCACCTGGCATGGGCCAGGCTCCTCCAGCTACCAATGAACAAAAGCAGCGCAAAAACAAAACCAATGGAGCAGAAAACGAGACGTAGGTGGCACAAACATTTCAGAATCCTTTCTGGGGTTGTCATATGGAAGGAACTTCCTAGGTTTTATCCTAATAGGCCTCCCCAGATTCTTTGTTTGTGATGAAGTTTCTCTCTACAATTATATTGGTTTTTGTAGACTGATGGTCATATTTGACATGTGAGTGGCATGCCTAGGTCTACTTTCCAAAAAGTAATCAGACTTGGAACAAAAAGTGAGTGGATTCATTTCAATTAGTTGAATTGGTGGGGCTAATTTATTAATCCTTATTATTGTGAATGTAATGATTTCATCCAATAACAATCAAAATAGACTTTGTTGGTAACTTTTAGTGGGCTCTGAGGGTAGCCTATGGCATCTGAATATATTCCTCTGTGTAAGTTACCTTTCTTGGTATAAGGCATTTCTAATTTTTGAACCACTTATTTTATACATGTACAGGTTAACATTAGCAGAATATCATGAACAAGAGGAAATATTCAAACTCCGACTAGGCCATCTTAAAAAGGTAAAAAGATATGTTATAACTTCAAGTACTCATTGAATTATGTTTTTGACTTTCTACTTGTTCTAGTCCTTAGTTATTTGTTTCTTTATTGATTTATGTTTGTTTATTCTCTGTTTGAGAGAATAGGCCCTTCCTTATAGTTATCGGTTTCTAAACACCAGAAATACTACTCTTCTGCAAATGGTTTTCAAAAAATTTAGGAAGTAGTTTACGCAGAGCTATGTTTGTCAGTCTATTTTAGCACAATATGAAGAATTTTGGAAGATTCTTTAATGCATAAGGTCATTTTATAAGGAATATTGGCAGAGTCTTAGCTCTCGCTGCATACTTGCATGAACCAAAACTTTATTCTAAAGCAATAAATAATATTATATGCATTACTAAATAAAATTAACGATGGGTATTTTTAACAGAATAATAGAGTTGGAAGGGACCTTGGAGGTCTTCTAGTCTAATCCGCTGTTCAAGCAGGAAACCTTTTGCCATTTCAGACAAATGATTGTCCAGTCTCTTCTTAAAAACCTCCAGTGTTGAAGCGTCCACAAAAGTCTAATCTGCTAAGTCTACTTTGCTGTAGTAAAGTATCTGGGAATTTTTAGCTAGATGGTAAATATAGGTAGATAGATATGGTAGAGGTATGCAGACAAAATATAGACATCTCACAATGTTAGCTCACCCATTATAAATAAATACAGGCAATTTTAACACAAGTGAAAGTACTTTTTTTTTTAGAAAATGGATTATTTAAATAGTTTTGAATGGAGATTTATCAAAATTAAGAATAGAATGAGCTATCGGTTATTATTAATCTTGATGGCTGTTTATTACCTTTGGAAACACAATCATTATATCTTAGAAAATTAATAGAGTTCTTGAATTTTTGAGCCTACTTTTTTATAATTATGTAAAATATGTTTTGTGATAAATTCATTTAAGAAAAATTAGAGTAAGATCTTCTACAAAAGAAAATGGAAAAAGAAGAAAGAAACAAATGCATTTCTCCCATTTATAATATCAGAACAAAAAATCTATTACCAGAAATGTTCTCTGTTCTTTTGCAAGCTTACACAAGGAGTTAGGAAATAATAACATGTTATTCCTTGCAACATTGCAGCAAATAATAAAGAAGGGAGTGAGCATTAGCGAAAGGATCTCTCCAAACTTTGGTAAGAACACAAAAGATTTGCAAGTGAAAATATAGAGGTGTCAAAATAGCTCAGAGCCATGCAGAATTCAATACCTCCTTCCAAAAAATTCCTGTCATCTAAACAGTTCAAACACATTTCAAGCAAGACAATTGGTTCACAATATTTCTGTCTATGGATAATAAGCATATTGTAAGATATTTTAGCCAGTAATTTGCAAGCTGCTGTCAAGTCCAATGTTTAGATATTTTTTAAAAAGACACTCTCAATGTCTTTTCATTTACTTTTTACATATCATGACATCTTTCCCTGATTGAGGAATACTGTATAAAGGAAAGCCTTTCTGCAAAGATTCTTATCAGGCAAATTTGGTTTTAAATCCTCAGTACAGCAGTTTATAGTACAGTAAAGTGATCTTCCTCTTTGTGCAGGAAGAAGCTGAGATTCAAGCAGAATTAGAGCGATTAGAACGGGTTAGAAATCTGCATATCAGGGAATTGAAAAGGATACATAATGAAGATAATTCACAGTGAGTATTGGCCATAAGAGAGAAGCAAATTACAACCTTGTGAAAGATGACCAGCTTGCTAAAATACACTAGAAATGTTTGCTGGGAATTAACTTTACTTAGAATTAATATTTATTAAATGAATATACCAGTTGACGCCTAGCTACTTGGATAGAATGTCCTTCCAAGCAACAATGTAAACAAGAAAACATAAAGATAATACAGGCAAAAATGTCTTTGTGGTGGGCAGTGCAAGATTATCGGAGAAAGTATGGCTGCGTTTCAACAAATCTAGCTTTGCCTATGAAATAGATTGCCAGTTCACCTGCATGCTCAAACCTTTCTACTCATAGGCGAAGAGCTTTTCATTTGTCAAATAACTTACTTTTTTAGATGATTTGCTTAAGACCATGTTCAAACCATTAAGTCTCCTGTTCTCTCCACATTAGGTTTAAAGACCATCCAACACTAAATGATAGGTATTTGTTGTTACATCTCCTAGGCAGAGGAGGATTTAGTGAAGTATATAAGGTAAGTTAGATCATCTTTCTATTTTGTTTGATTACTGGTGTAGAAGCTAAAGTCTTAGTTATTTAAATGTCTGTCTTTGTGTTCTCAGGAGTCTTGTCAGTTTTAAGTAGACTTGTTTGGCCTAAGAAGTCAATAGGTTCAGGTTAATGAAAGTTATCTCTGTATGCTCATTATAATTAAATGAATTTTCTTGGTTTTACTTTAGCATTGTCATTTCATACTCGCCAAATTTGACACTATGTTAAAAGTGTTTTTTTTAGCATGTCAGTCAGAATAGTTAAGGAAGAAAAAAGTGAAGGAAATGATTGGTCCATTAGTGGGGGAAAGTGGCAAGAAGGTGACAAGCAACAGGGAGAAAGCAGAACTATTTAACTCGTTTTTTGCATCTGTCTTCACACAAAGGGGAAAAACAGACCAACCTATCAAAAATAGTGCCATAAAAAACAGAATAGAAACACAAGATAGGCAAGAAAATGGTAAGTGAGCACTTGTCCAGCCTAGACAAGTTCAAATCACCAGGACCAGATGGATTACACTCCAAGGTTCTGAAGGAACTGGCAGATGTGATCTCAGAACCACTGAACTATGTTTTTCAAAGCTCTTGGGAGCACTGGGGAACTACCAGAGGACTGGAAAAGAGCTGATGTAGTTCCCATCTTCAAAAAAGGGGAAAAAATAGATCCAGGAAATTACAGACCTATCAGCCTGACCTCAAGACCTGGGAAGATTCTGGAAAAGATAATCAAACAACGAATCAGCGAACATGTAGAGGCAAACAAAGTCATTACTAAAAGCCAACATGGGTTTGTCAAAAACAGATTATGCCAGACAAATTTTATTGCATTCTTTGACCAAGTGACAAAATTAGTGGATCAGAGGAATGCTGTGGACATAATTTATTTGGATTTCAGTAAAGCATTTGATAAAGTAGATCACAACCTACTACTTGACAAGATAGAAAAATGTGGGTTAGATAGCATCACCACCAGATGGATTCGTAGCTGGCTGACCGGCCATACTCAGCGTGTGGTCCTCAATGGAACTGCATCTACATGGAGGGAAGTGTGTAGTGGGGTGCCCCAGAGCTCTGTTCTGGACCCAGGGCTCTTCAACTTCTTCATCAACGATTTGGACGAGGGATAGATGGGGAACTCATCAAATTTACAGACGACACCAAGCTGGCAGGAATAACCAACACTCCAGAAGACAGGCTTAAGATACAGAAGGATCTGGACAGACTCGAACATTGGGCGCTATCTAACAAAATGAAATTCAGTGGTGAAAAAAGTAAGGTTCTACATTTAGGCAAGAAAAACCAAATGTATAGGTATAGTATAGGGTGTACCTTGCTCAACAGTAGTAACTGTGAGAGGGATCTTGGAGTCCTAGTGGACAATCACTTAAATATGAGCCAGCAGTGTGCTGCAGCTGCCAAAAAAGCCAGCTCAGTGCTAGGCTGCATTAACAAAGGGATAGAATCAACATCACATGAAGTATTAATACCACTTTACAATGCCTTGGTAAGGCCACACTTGGAATACTGCATCCAGTTTTGGTCACCACGATGTAAAAAAGATGTTGAGACTCTAGAAAGAGTACAGAGAAGAGCAACAAAGATGATTAGGGGACTGGAGGCTAAAACATATAAGGAACGGTTGCTGGAATTGGGTTTGTCTAGTTTAATGAAGAAAAGGATGAAGGGGGACATGATAAGCAGTGTTCCAATATCTCAGGGGCTGCCAGAAAGAAGAGGGAGTCAAGCTATTCTCCAAAGCGCCTGAAGGCAGGACAAGAAGCAACGGGTGGAAACTAATCAAGGAGAGAAGCAACCTAGAACCAAGGAGAAACTTCCTGACAGTTAGAACAATTAACCAGTGGAACAACCTGCCTCCAGAAGCGGTGAATGCTCCAACACTGGAAGTTTTTAAGAAGAGACTGGACAGCCATCTGTCCGAAATGGTGTAGGGTTTCCTGCCTGAGCAGGGGGTTGGACTAGATGACCTCTAGGGTCCCTTCCAACATTATTATTATTGTTGTTGTTGTTGTTGTAGCAGAATAACAGAGTTGGAAGGGATCTTGGAACTCTTCTAGTCCAACCCCCTGGTCAAGCAAGAACCCCTATACCATTTCGGACAAATGGTTGTCCAATCTTTTCTTAAAATCCTCCAGTGTTGGAACCCACTTCTGGAGGCAAGTCGTTCCACTGATTAATTGTTCTAACTGTCAGGAAAATTCTCCTTAGTTCTAGGTTGGTTCTCTCCTTGATTAGTTTCCATCCGTTGCTTCTCGTGCTTTGAAAAATAGATTGACCCCCTTTTCTTTGTGATAGCCCCTGAAATATTGGAACACTGCTATCATATCACCTCTAGTCCTTTTTATTAATCTGTATGTAATTTAAATAATTTTTAGAAAATTGTATAGAATAATTTACTAATTCTATATTTCCCATAGTGGACTTTACTAATTATATATTCCTCATAGTGAAACTTTTTTAAAATTCATGAAGTTCACTCACAGTTTCCATAATAGGAACTATTGTTCTTATTAATATAATATACGTATATAGTCTTTCCAGATCCTGCAAAAAAAATTCATCCCCCTGGGAGCTTAATATCAATAACTTTTTCAGGGAGGACAATTGACCATACCTTAATTATACCAATTATCAATTGTTGATTTTTTTAGGAAACTACTTCGTTGAATTATGATTCATATAGTTGCCGAAGTAAAAATGTAATGAATTCCTTTTAATAATCCCAGTTCTGGAGCACATTCTATTCTTTGTTTAATTATAATTACATACTTTCTTCCAGAAAGGCAATCTTTCAAAAGATATTCCTTTTTTTGACACCCCTCCAACATTTTATTGAATAGCTGAGAGATATTTAAGCTATTCTTATTGAAGTTAAATCAGTAATGTATTTACTGTCATAGCAACTCTTATACTGTATGGAAGCTGATGAAAAGCCTGACTTCCATAGTGTTTGCTATTTTGCATCTTCCAATTGTTTTCCCAAGTCTAAATCCCAAGCTTTATTTTGACCTATAGCAGTGGTTCTCAACCTTTTTAATGCCGCGACCCCAACCGGTCGTAAGTCGAGGACTAAACCGGTCATAAGTCAAGGACTAAACCGGTCGTAAGTCGAGGACTGAACCGGTCGTAAGTCGAGGACTACCCAACCGGTCGTAAGTTGAGGACTTTCCCTGCCCGGGAGCGCCGCGCACGCGTGGTTCCGCCCCCTGCGCCGGCCAAGGCATAGCTGGCAAGCGGCAGAGACGGAGCAGGCCGACCACCAGCTGGCCCAGCCCAAGGGAGGTAAGGCACCCGCCGGAAAACAGGAAAAAAATGGCGGACAAAAAAATGGCAGACAAAAAAAATGGCGGACAGCCTTGCTTGGCGACCCCCGTGAAATGGTCGATCGACCCCAAATGGGGTCCCGACCCACAGGTTGAGAACCACTGACCTATAGGGAGGTCACCAAAATCCTTGAATCATCATCATCATCACAACTGTCTATATACTCAGATGCAACCTTAATGACTCGTAGATCCTTGGTTAGGACTTCAACTATTAAGTTTTTACCAATCCCAGACTGTGAATTGAATTGAAGATTAAATCTAACAATAATAACAATAACAATATATTTTCTTTGTAATTGTTCCTTTAGGTTGGGAGGGGTATTTATTAATTTTCCAAAATGTGCTAAGCAGTGAAATGCTGAATCTCTTACATCCTCGTTGTAAAAAAAGTTTCAGAAGTTTAGTCATGTGGACCAAGAAAAAAGAATCACAAATAGGTTGTCAATTATCTATTTGTTGTTACCTAGTATATTATTGTAAAAATCTGACATCCTATAAATGGGATAAAAATTTATCAAATAATTTATGAATTGTAATATTTATTCCTAAATATTTAAAATATTTATATATTACTAGTATACTTATAATCTAAAAATACAATTCATAACTGATCTTTTTCATATTTAAAGTTGGCAGTCTTTGTAATGTTTTGACTATTTACTAGCTATCTTTCTTTTTCAGGCATTTGATTTAACGGAACAGAGGTATGTAGCAGTAAAAATCCACCAATTAAATAAAAATTGGAGGGATGAAAAGAAAGAAAATTATCACAAGTGAGTATTTCCCCAGTTACATGATCAAAATTTGAGCACTTGACAACCAATATGTATTTATGATAATTGTAGTGTCCTGGAATCATGTAATCACCATTTTTGACCTTCCCAGCCAGCTCCTGATAAGAAAAATTAATTGGGAAGCCAAATTCACTTATCAACCATGTGATTCACTTAACAACTATAGTTTTTGGTTGTTGGGTATATATAGAATAATTGGTATCGTTTTGTATTAGCATATACTCTGGTTTCCCTTCAGATCGTATTAACTTTTGTTTAAAGTTTTTATTACGGTAGTTTATAACTTGTAAATAAAAATATAATTAAAAAAATGTAAATACAAGTATTGTTTCTAGATACAATTGAAAAACATGAAACATTTGCTCCCTGTGAGCAAAAATTAATCGCTGTCTATTTCTTCATAATAAAAGTCATCATTTCTGGAGTTGTACGCTTTATAGACTAACCTAACTGAAAATAGCTGAGACAAGAGACAACACAGAAGATAGAAGAGATTTAGAATAGCCATTCCTAAAATCCATCTGGATACATCTGTTAGTGTGAGAATAGTAAAAGTTTACTCTGCAAGATTCTGTCTGTTGATGTAAGCAAGCAAAGAAATGAACATTGGCTGGATTGTTCTGTGTCATTCTTGGGCTGGGCCTAACATTTCTAAAATATCCAGCTCAGATATATTCAACCTTCTGTTTGGAGGTAAGCTTACACTTTTCCTGTAAGTATTCTATCAAATAATTTTGAGGGAGACTTTTGGTTACCAAAGTTACTCTTTCTTGTGTTTAGCACCTAACAAAGCATCACCCACATGTTTTTCACCCCCTGACGTGCAGGAGGATAAGTCGAAGCCACACGTAACAAATATTTCTGTCTTTTTCTTTTAGGCATGCATGTAGAGAATACAGAATCCATAAAGAACTGGATCATCCTCGTATAGTTAAATTGTATGACTATTTCTCATTGGACACTGACTCGTAAGTGCTGCTGTCTTTGTAATTTGCACTGCTAATAAAGACATTTGAAAATTTGTGATTAAGCTGTTTAAAAATTTGTGGGGGAAGAAATGGAGGAAACCAATCTGTTTTGAAATATGGATTCTAACATTTAAAGTAATGCCTTGCCAGAAATTGAACTTGCCTGTCCAGTCCAATGATTAAGAGAAGGCCTTTTGCAAGTCCCCACTCCTTACAAAGATGCATGGGCCATAGAAAATGCAGCATGCATTCTGAGTGGTGGGCCTATTTTTATGAAATACCTTTCTCTGGAAGAACAGATGGTCCAAATACTATCAGCATTTTGTAAACAAAGCAGTTTTGTTCCAGCTTGGGTTCAGCCCTTTGATTAGTTTAGTTTTATGAGCTATGATGTTTATTCCTAGCTTTTGATTATCTTTAAATGTTTACACTGAGCTTTTAATTATTAAATTAAAAGAGCTAGAATGCCTTGATACTAATACAAGTATACATCTCAAAAAATTAATATTTTTTCTACACAGCATTTATGGTGGCTTACAATTAAAAAAATATAAATAGCTAAAATAAGAGTAAAACATTTAAAATTATAATTAAGTAATTTACACCAAAAGAGCCATGCTAAAGCTGCCTTTTTCCTTTCCAAAAAAAACAAGTAAGTAGAAACCGAGTACAACTGAGGATGTATATTCCATAATTTGGTAGCAACATACATGTGGACCTTTCACAAACCTCATAAACAAATTGTGAAAAGGCAATATAGTTAGTATTCTCAGAAAACTCATGTAAGAGAAAATAGGATTTATGAAAGGGATACAAATATTACCTTGCACATAAGAGAAGCTGCAGCAATATTTTATTTTGTGGGTACCAAATAGCAGTTAATTTTATGAAATTGAAATTTATACTAAATATACTAAGTAAATTTGGGTTTAGCCCATTTTTCCAATAATTTTATTCAGTTTAATGTTTATCTTTTTAATCCAAGTTGAAAATAGGACACTTTGAAACACACTAAGGTTTTGTTAACAGATAAAAATTAAAGAAAAGATGTGTTTATGCCAAAGATAATGTATTTGTATGATAATCACCGAGTATTGGTGAAATTAATTAAAAATAACCTGAAAATATTTTGCATTATAAAATAAATACAAGAAAATCAAATATAACACTACATAACATGGGACACTTACACGTAGAAGCATTCCTATTTATTTATGTGAAGTGTTTTAGGTCACTTTTCAGCTTTAAAAAATCAGTTATACAGTACATTCAAAATATACAGGAGATTTTAGTTGCTGAGAATGATCTTTTCAACAAGTACATTTGACCTAGTTAAGGACAGCCATGTATAAGTTGCTCTGAGATTGACTAACATTTCCTGACTAAGAATCAAAGAAGTTTGTCCAAAGATCAAGACCTATTATTTTCCAGACATGTTAGATGCTACAATATACTGATTTCCACATTTAAGGACATTTCCTCCAGAATTAAAGAACAATTAATATAGCAAAGAAAGCAAGAACATATTAACATAAGGGGAAAATATAGGCAGCATTGACAATTTGACCCTTGGTTCTTATATTAAAAATGCAGAATTTCAAGTTTCAAAACAGTATGTAGAAGTTTCAGTAGGAATAGATATTGCCCCAAAGTTTTCCTTTTCTGGTATTGAAAGGAATAGTATCAAATATTACTACAAAGAATAATTTCATATTAAAATTCCAGATGAATTAAAAAAATATCTTCATATAGATTCTATTAAAATATGTTGCAGGTGAATTCAGTATCTTTTTAAAAAAAATATGGTACATTAATACCAATCAAGATTTATATAAAAAAAGAAAAGCAGTCTTTTTGGATCAGTAGATACCTAAAATGTTTAAACATGTCACGTCACTCTCATGAAATAGCTACTGTGCTGAATGTGATCAGACATAAAACAAATGATGTTATTGTGTTGCTCCAACTTTTTTTTATCGGTAAATAAACACACTTTGAAACAAAGCTTATGTAAAAAAATGAAGTCTATCACTTCTTGGCCTTTTTGGCTAAGATCATGTTAATAGGTCTATACCAGTGGTGGCAAACCTAAGGCACGGGTGCCAGAGGTGGCACTCAGAGCCCTCTCTGTGGGCACGGGTGCCGTCGCCCCAGTCCTAGGCCTTCAGCTGGGTTTTATAAAACCTTTTCGCTTTAGGCCTCCACTGCCATGTGCAAAAAAAAAAAAAGGTTCAATCAATCAGTCAATTTCAACTTCTCGCAGGAAAAAAAAAGATCTTGCAAAGTTGGAATTGATTGATTGAACTTTTGAGTCCCACCCAGTCTGCTGTTACCACCGCAACCACGCCCGCCCAATGGGCCACACCCACCTGGCACCCGACAATGCATAAGTGGGTTTTGGGTTGCAGTTTGGGCACTCAGTCTCTAAAAGGTTCGCCATCACTGGTCTATACATACTATAATTTTTTGAGCCATTCATACATCAGTGTAGATGTACAGATCTAGTAAAATCATTATTTTTGATTTCTTAAATAGATTAAGTAGATTTTGATACATACATCAAACATATTTGATCATTTGATTTCACTTCCTCCAGGTTTTGTACAGTATTAGAATACTGTGAGGGGAACGATCTGGATTTCTACCTGAAACAGCACAAATTAATGACAGAGAAAGAAGCCCGATCTATAATCATGCAGATTGTAAATGCATTAAAATATTTAAATGAAATCAAGCCGCCTATTATTCATTACGATCTCAAACCAGGTAAGTTCATAGTGAAGATGGTACTGCACCATGGGGGGAAAAACAGAATATGATTTATTTTACAAGACTATGCTTCCTTGACAGATTAAATATGAAATATGTAGTTTGGTTTGATTATTTAGCAATAACATTCCCAATTCCCATTACTTTAAACTTCCATAGTCGTAACTGGGAATATTGTTAATCCTTTCTCTCTCTTCCAAAGGGTACTGTCATTTTGTTACTTTGAAAAGTGTTAAAAGATGCTGCTGCAGTTGTAGCACTAATATTTTCAGTGGGGAATAAGTGTTATTCTGAAAAGAAAATCAGTAATTATCTTTAATTTTTATCTTTTATTCATGTTATAACTTGAAGTGCTTTAGTAAACTGGAGTTGATATGTGATTCTAATTTGGCTTAAGTGTATGTGATGTTCTTTTATCAGTGAAATGAGTTAGACTGGGATAGGAAGAAAGCTGATGAATGGAAATTATTATTAAGATGTAATGATGATTCTTCTGATTTTCTGATCCTGTTTAGCCTTCAAGGTTATTCCTACAAAGTTATCCTAAAGGAAAACTGTGCTTTAGTTCATTGTATTATCACTTTGTATGGATGATTCTATATTTTGATTGAGTGTTACAAGAGAACTTAGTTGGAGGGCAACTAATATATTTTAGAAAAATAGAAAATTATGGTTGGTTGCATAGTCCGCCAGATATTTATACTGGATTTGGCATTTTTGTTTAACCTATCAAATTCTTCTCAAGGACATGCAGATGTTGTTTAATAATGTTAAAGGTATTGTCACAAGATATAAGCTGTTTCAAATAAATCTGCCTTTTGCAATTAACTGATGGCAATTTTGTCAGTGTTCAGTAGTGCTCCAGAAGTTTTGGAATTGCATCCAAGGTGTGTATAATTATTAGTAATATTTGCTTTCTTTTACAATAGGTTTTCTACTTCATTTGCAGGTCTTCATGTTTTATGATTTTCTCCCTTTGTCTTATATTCTGTTGTCTCCAGATATTGCCACATCCATTATCCAGATTTTTTGTCTTATCAGCAGTTGTTAAGTCATGTGACAGATGCTTGTCTGTTTGAATTCTAAAGTCCCAGAGCACTTTAACTTCATGTTCTATTACTGTGTCTATTTGTGGCCCCATCAGTTCTTCCTTGCAAATAGTAGTATTTCTTGCAGATATTCCAGTGCGCCATTGTTGCTACTTTGTCATTCCCTCACGTGTAGTCAGTCTGTGCCATCTTCTTACAGCAGCTAACTAGTTGGCTCATTGTTTCTTCAGCTTCTTCGCAGAGGTGGCTTTTGTTGTCTGTTGCTGTGTTCTCAATTCTGCCTTTATATGCTTGATCTTATGCAGTCAGAATTAGCCCCTCTGCCTCTTAATTCAACTTTCCTGCGTTTAGGCATTGCTAGGTCTTGTTCTTATCTGCTTTGTCTGCTATTTCTTTAATATACTGGCCATATAATACTTTTCCTTGCCATGTCTCTTTTTGATTCTTCATTTGGTTTTTCATGTAGACCAGTTTGGTCTCCAGTACTCATAAATCTTCCTGGTATACTAGCTTCAGTGCATTTTCTTTACTTCAAATATTCCTCCAATGCCTCTTCTTCAGTTGCCTGGTATACTTGCAACATTCTACACCCACCTATTTTCCTTGGTAAGCAGAGTCTGTCAACATCGTTGTGGGGATGAAGGGCATGATTCATTGATCATTTTTCTGTTATCTCTATCCAGGGCTTTTACTTCTGCTTGAGTCCAGTCCACTATTCCACCTCTATATCTAATGACTGGTATTGTCCAGGTTTTGCCTTGGTGATATTTCCTCCACTGAGTTTGGACTTTTAAGATCTTCTTCATTCTTATGATATATTCACTTCTAGCCTTCTTGTCTTCAGTGTGCTTAATATTGTCAGCTTGCAGGATGCACAGGTATTTGTAATAATTGTCTTCATCTAGATTCTTGATGTTATTTTCATAAGTCATCTTGATTCCTTCAGTTTTCCATATTTTTCCCCTGATGATGGTGGCAGTAGCACATTTTTTCAATCCAAAATCCCTTCTATAACTTGGCTGTATAAATGAAACATGTTGAGAATCAATTCTATTTCAGGAGATATTTCTATTCACATCCATGTAAAGGAGATGGGATAGCCTGGCAGATGTTTTTGATGTTTGAGAGCTATGGGCTGATGTTTCAGTGTTATTGACATCAGTGCAATAACAATCAGTAATGGTGGTAGTGAGCCTCCTTGAAAGATTCCTCACTTGATATTAACCTCTCCTGATTTAAACCATTGATCAGCAACTATGTCTTCCATTGATCTTTGTACAAAGCTTCTGATGTTTCTACGGATTCCACATTTCTAATTACTTGATTATCCAATCATATGGCAGGAAGTCTAATGCCTTCTTATAATCAATCCAAGCTACATTCCAGTTGATCTTCCTTCTCTTGCAGTTTCCAATATCATCTTGTCAGTTAGGGAATGAGCTTCTGTTCCTCTGCTGTTCGGGCAGTTTCCCTTCTGCTCAGGTGGAAAGAGCTTGTTTTCAATTAGACACTGTTGGACTGCATCAGTTACCACACAGATGCAATCTGAAAGTTATTGCTAAGTAGCTAATTGGTTTGTAGTTGTCTGGTGCTGCCCCTTTTGCTGGAACTTTCATTATCAGGTAGGTTTTACCAGATGCATTTTTAAATTTCATCACCCTGCAGTTTGTTATTAAATTGCTTAGCAATGAATGGGTGTAGACCAGTTAGATGTTTCAATACTAAACCATTCAGATAATCTTCACCTAAAGCTGACCAATTCTTGATTTTCCTTGCACTTTTCTCCACAATTTTTTCTATTATTACAAATTCTTTCATTCCAGCTTCTTTTTAATTTTTATCTACCTCCTTTATTTTAAAGTGCATTCTTGATGTATTTCTGTATATTAGTTGATTTGCTTCTTTCAGTGAGCTGGTGCTTATATTTGTTATTACAGTATTTGCATCTTAATATTTGTACTAGCTATTTTGGGGGGAAGTTTCAATGGCAACCTTATTGCCATTGTGGTAGAGCCGTGTAGCGCAGTGGTTAGAATGCAGTACTGCAGGCTAATTTTGCCAACTGCTAGCAGTTCGATTCTCACCAGCTCAAGGTTGACTCATCCTTCCATCCTTCTGAGGTTGGTAAAATGAGGACCCAGAATGTTGGGGGCAAGATGCTGACTCTTAGAAAGGGCTGTAGAGCACTGTGAACCAGTATATAAGTCTAAGTGCTATTGCTATTGCTTATTTTGTTATTTTTGTGCTATTCTAGCTGCTGAATTATTCTTTGGGGGGGTTGGTAGGGGACTTTGTTCTTTCTTAGGAGAAGGCAGAGGATAAGGTGCATGGTTTGGAAATGAAAATGTTCAATATCTATGCTGTGAATTCACAGCTACTAGTTCTTCAGCTGCTGTTGGACTTCATACATAAAGTGCTTCCCAGGACATCGGCTCAGCATATCAAAACTTTGGAAATGCCCTGAATCTGCTAGTGTATCCCAACAGAAAGAGAAATAATTCTCTATTTCCCCCCACACACAAACCCCATCAAAGTCATCCTGAACAGTAGCAATTAGCGGCTGCACCAAGGCTGAGCCTGAAATGGAGGTCCAGGTCTTGACTTCAGCCCTAGGACAACACTGCCACAAATAAGGCCATGTTGTGCCATTCCCAAGGGGTGATTGCCTCACAGCCCAGCACTCCCCAGGATCTACTTGCACCACTTACCTTCAGGCAATGTACTTTTTTTTGTTGTAAACCATTGCAGCCTATATGAGGCTGCTCTAGGTCACTCAAGGCCTTCATTCAAGAATGCTCTTTTACGGCCTCTGCAACCTCTGAAAGCTGCATACAAGCTTTTCCCATTGTGACATGGTTTTTCTTGTGCACAGCTGAAAGCTGTGCAAAAATACACAAGATACTCTATTTTCAAAAATTGTACAAGAACAAGGTCTGTTTTCAAGAATAGTTGTTGGGTGTTGGTGAATGCTCACGTGTCACCAAAAGCTGTGACATGTCACTTTTGACACAGGTGTCATAGTTTTGCCATCACTGAACTGGTATTGACATAGTATATGTGTAGATCTAAGTTACGTTGATTTTTGTAACTGAGAGATGGAAATTTTGTCAATGCAAGATTTTTTAAGTGCCTTCCAACCTTTTTTAGTATGGCACCTAGTGTGCTGATTTGTTTTTGATTTTCAGATCTTAATACTTTGTGATTTTATCCAATTATTTTTCTTACATTCTGCTATCTTCTGATATTGCTATATCAATTACCTACACTTTCTTTTCAACTATAGTTATAGCTGGTATGTTAATAGTTAAGACTTTATCAGTCTGTATTCGGAAATCCCACAATATTTTAACCGGCTTATTTTCAGCTACTTTTTCAGCTCTGTTTCCACCAATTTTTTTATTACTAGCACATGGTAATTTTTTTACAGATTTTCCAGTGAATATTTTGGCAAGTATTACATCATTATTTATATCAGATTTGTGTGATCTTGCAGGAGCTATGATCTGTTTCTTCTGCCTCTTTGCCCAATCTGCAATTTGAATCTAGGGCTAGATTATGTTAGTTCGAATAGCCTGCTCTTGGGCAAACAACATTAAGCTTCAGATTACTTTTTTAATGTTCCAGTTTTAAGCCATTGCCAGGTTTTATCCTTATCCATTTTGATCTTTTGTAGAAATTGGCCATATAATGCTTTTGCTTGACTGCCTTCTGTTTATGTAGTTATTATATTATTTTGATATTCATGTTTTGTTTCCTGCACATTCATTAAGTTCCAATTTTTAACTTGCATCAATGCTTGTCCTTGACCACCTTTTAGATAATCAGCCAATGCATGCTTTTTTTTCTTCAATAGTTCAACTTGAAGTAAACATCTGCCTGCATTTTGCAAGGCAGATATACTCTATCAATATCATAGAAGAGATATAATAAATAGGGAATAATCATCAGTTTTCTTGTTTTGTGGTAAAATTCCAGCAGTATATCACATCATGGGTATGGCCCAGATACTAATGGTTTTGATAACGTTTCCATCGTTCAATCATGTCTTTAAGCACTTTTTTCACTCTGGATGTATTCTTTACTAATCACATTTTTAACTTGTTCATGTTTGATGTTATCCAACTGCTTCTTCATGATGGCTCCTGATAGTTTCATCTTTTTAATTCCATTACTATTCATAATTTTATCCCAATTTATTGCTACTATAATATGTTTGTTTAGGCCAAGTTCCATTGCTGTGTCTGTGCTAAAAATTCTTAAGGTATTTATCCATGGCTGACAATGATTTCTGGTTTTCCACAAAGCTTCAGATCATCCATAGAAAAGTAAATGTGAGATTTAATTCACATATTTGGTGTCTGATAACCAAGATTTGTTTTTTAATTATTATTATTATTATTTACATTTCCCTTCACCTATTATTTTGTCCTGTAATATTATATCTAAAGAAAGTTTCTCTTGGACATGAGAAAGCATAAACTACATTAAATTTTGGGAAATAAATCAGTGCATCTTTTTATCTTTTAGGTTAATACAACAAGGTATCACATTGATTGAAAATAATTATTTTGCTAGTCTATCCACCCTCATAGTTAATAGGCTGTTCAACTTCAAAGTTGTTTTTTTTTTACCTGTCCAGGAAACATCCTCTTGGTAAATGGTACTGCATGTGGTGAAATTAAAATCACTGACTTCGGCCTCTCAAAAATCATGGACGATGACAGTTACAATTCAGTTGATGGCATGGAGCTGACATCACAAGGCGCTGGTACATACTGGTGGGTATATAATCTGTTTTTTGTCCTGCTCATTCCACAATATTCTAAAAATACCTGTCATTAAAACTTGAGGAAAAACATATTGTCAAAAGATTTTTGTAAAAGTAGGAGAAATAATGAGGACAGTAGATTCAACTAGTATATCAAAATCATGGTTTTCAAAGGAAATTAGATATCTCTTAGGAGTATGCAAAACAACTCAGGAATAGTTCTCTAGAATATACCTTTTGAGTTCTCTAGATAACCTCAGAACATTCTATTCCTAAATAGAGTTTTGTACATCCTTTGTTTTTCCTACGCCGGAAAATACGGGTATTCTATTTTATTCCTTTATATAAGCTGAGGACGCAATGGGGGCGGAGGCCGGGAGCCGCTGCCTCCCGTCCTGCTCTCCCTCCCTGGACGCGATGGGGGCGGCGGCCAGGAACTGTTGCCTCCCGTCCTGCTCCCCCTCCCCGCCCGTTCTGCTGAGGACGCGATGGGGCGGTGGCCGGGAGCCTCTGCCTCCCGTCCTGCTCCCCCTCCCCGCCCATTCGGCTGAGGATGCAGCGGCCAGGCTGGGGGCGGCGTGGACTCCCGACGATGCTGCAGTGGCCGCTGCCGTGCCGCCGCCGCCACTGGAGCTGCTGCCTCCTGTCTTGCTCCCCCTCCCCACCCGTTCGGCACCGTCTGCCTTTCATTCTCTTTGTCTCTCTCCTAACCTGGAGGGGAGAGGGAGAGAGAGAAAGAGGAAAGAAGGAGAAGAGAAAGAGGAAAGAGAAGAGAGAGAAAGAGGAAAGAGAGAGAGGAAAGAGAGAGGAAAGAGGGAAAGAGAAAGGAAAGAGAAGAGAAAGAGAAAGAGAGGAAAGAGAAAGTTAGAGGAAAGAGAAAGGAAGAGAAAGAGAGAGAAAGTTAGAGGAAAGAGAGAAAGAGAAAGAGAAAGATAGAGAGGGGGAGAGGAAAGAGAAAAAGAGAGGAAAGGGAGAGAAGGAGAGGAAAGAGAGAAAGAGGAAAGGGGAGAGGAAAGAGAAAATGAGGAAAGAGAAAAAAGATTGAGAAAAGAGGAAAGAGAAAGGAAAACAGAGGAAAGAGAGAGGAAAGAGAGACAGAGAAAGAGAGAGAGAAAGTTAGAGGAAAGAGAGAAAGAGGAAAGAGAAAGAAAGGAAAGAGACAGAGAGAGAGAGACCCTTTTGACATCTAAAATGAAGATAGCACTGTATATATCCTTTTTTACCTTTATTTTATATATACACACACAAACATACACACACACACATATCATAAAGGTAAAAAAGGATATTTGCAGTCTTATCTTCATTTTAGATATCAAAAGGGTTTTGCGGCTCCCAGTGTTTTGTTTTCGGTGGGAAAAGTGTCCAAGTGGCTCTTTGAGTGTTTTGGATTGCCTACCCCTGATATAGCCCAAACTCTATATTTTAACTGGAAAAGTTGGAGGTCGTCTTATACGCCCAGTCGTCTTATACGCCGGAAAATACGGTACTCATTTACTAATCTGACCTATTGAATGATTTTCAAAGACTCATTTGGATATGTGAGAAGGTCCATCTCTTGCCTCATTTCCAAACTATGGCATCTCAAGACAACAGAAAAATTATTCTGGGAATATTTAAGGGAAAAGTAATTGCAAAGGACATGCTTATTTTTGTATATTTTTACTATGGAAATTAATTTAAAAAAATAATCATAATTATGAATATTTTTCTCTAGAATAGCAGGTAGGTAGGCAAGTCAGTATAGCCCATGGGTGTCAAACTCGCCACATCACGTGACGTGTCATGATGTATCGCAACTTTTTGTGCATTGCTGGAGCTGGGGTGGGCGCAGCCTCTGCATGATGCAATCGGCCTGCCAGCTGGCAGTTGACACCCCTGGTATAGCCTATTACCCCAACAAACTGTGTAGACCTTGGACAAAAAATGAGAGAATAAGAGCCTATTTCAATATCCTAGTATTTCCTTTTAAAAAGACCTATTATATTTGAAATAACATTATAGAGCACTGGATATTTTGTTCCAAGGTTGAAATATTCATAACTTCCATTTCAAGTTCAGAACATTTTGTCCATATTCTACACATACGTGACTGCAATTGTCTGAAGGGCACGATGTCTGAGAATCCTAAATGGGTAATGAGGTAAACATTACAGCTAGCCACTGGTACACCATACGCTTCTAAAGAAAAGCAAATCAGAAGTGTTCTAGTTGTGGTAGGTTACTTGAAATGCAAGATGGATGATTTTTTGCCTGACCTGAACAAGTAAGCAATACTGTAAGATGTGGATGGACTAAAGATCACTTGAGGATATGTATTTGGAGGGGCTCTGTGAAGGTATAGTGTCTTTTCCTTATAAGCCACAAATCAGTTGAAGCAGCTGCTTACTTGAGAATACTTGCTGTTTTCAAGTGAAGATGAAGGAGCCCCTCCCCCTTTTTATCACCCAAATTGCAGTGTTAGCCTTGGTTATATAACATTGCAAATAATTCTCCAGAAAATGCAGGTCTATTAATGTAAAACAGGTGTGAAGGACATCTTTAGGAGACCATAAGTTGAACATATAGAAACAGGGTATAAAATCCACAATATTTGCATATTGGGTAGTACAGGGAAATTTGGCAATAACAGTAATGTTTATATCATTATTCCAATAATTGGACATATATTAATAAAGCCAGCTGATTTCCTATGCTTTAATGTTTATATTGTTAAGAATAATTTTGCTATTTACAACTAAATTGTTGTAATAAAGAGCTGAAGTAAGAGACATTTTGTTCAATTTTAAATCAAAGAAGCAAGTTAAAGGAACTCAGTATCTTGCTGCTATTTTTGCAACAACAAAAAAGAAAGTTAATGGAAATTTATAGTAGTTGTTTCAAACAAGTAGTATTTGGGACTGTGTGTGTTATATAGAACCAGACATGCCCTGATAAGCAAAAAAAAAGGGGGGGGGGGCTGAATATTAACCATATGAAATTCAGTAATAGTCCTTGGGTGAAATACGTTCTGTGACATAAATGGTTAATGGTGAGAAAAATGGGTATTTAAAATAAATGTAGCTATTTCTCCCTCTTCCTCAGGTATCTACCCCCTGAATGTTTTGTGGTTGGAAAAGAGCCTCCGAAGATTTCAAATAAAGTTGATGTTTGGTCAGTAGGAGTTATCTTCTACCAATGTCTTTATGGCAGAAAGGTAAATAAGAGGGCAACTAAGATACTGCAAAAAATATTCAATCATTTTGAGCCTAAGTCTTATTTTAACAATTCCTAAAATTAGGAGGAGTGTGGTGACATCTTTTCCATCTAACAAATTTTATTAAAAGGTATAAGCTTTCATGAGGTACAGGTTTCTAAAAATCTTTTAAAGTTAACATCTGGTTTAAGTGTTAAAGCATATATTCTATCCTATTGATATAACTTCAGTTTGTGCAAATAGATTCTGTTAGAAATGTCTCTGCTTATATATTAAAGTTTCTGAATTTAACAAATTTTTATATTGCCATTAATACCCAGGACTCCCAGTAGTTACAGGTAATACACATTAGCATTAACGCTTCCATGGTTAAAACTATTATTATCGGCATTATATATAAAATGCGGTTAACCAATAATATGAATGTTTTGAAGACTTCAGTCATTTATTTTTATTTGTGAACTTGAAATGTAATATTTTTAAAAATCTGTCTAACTCAAAGGAAAGATGAAATTTGGGAAAGGAGAGATAATATAAAGAAAAATGAGAGAATTTCTGAAAAAATATACTTGGAATTTGATTAATGATTATAGCTAGCAGTTTTCTTTCACACTTCAAATGCAATTTGCTCTCAATGAAGAAATTCAGGTAAAGCATTCTCCCAAGAAATCGGCCAACCTTTGCCTAGACACATCCAGCAGAGGAGAGCCACGATTTTTCTTGTTAACTGATTCCGCAATTGAATTGCTCTTACTATTAGGAGGTGTTCCTACCAATCAGCTTTCTTACAACAACTTGACCATTATACCATGCCAGGGACAATGGTGAATGGCCCTTTCAATAGAGCAGAATGTTTTCATATTACTTCTTGTTCATCTTTTAGAACTTTTTAGTTTTGTGGTTATCCTTGTATCCCTTTCTTGCACTTGATGAGTTTTTTTTCTTCCTCTGCAGCCTTTTGGTCATAACCAATCTCAGCAAGATATTCTGCAGGAAAACACAATCCTTAAAGCTACAGAAGTGCAATTTCCTCCTAAGCCAGTGGTAACACCAGAAGCAAAGGTAAAAGGGGTTATATTTGGTACAGGAAAATAGGATTAGTCTATTTTTAGGAGTTTGTTTAATTCTTTGAGTTTATTCATCATTTGGATTGCTTATCACCTACTTCTGACTGAGAAAGGGAAAATGTTCTTGCATTCTATAAACCTGTTATCTGCCTGTCTTTCTTCCATGGAGATAAGTTCTTTAAAACAGATAATAGACCAATGAAATAAATGTAGGGAAGAGTCATAACTGCATTTCAATCAGATTTTTAAGAGGAATTTCTATATCACAAATGAAAACTTGATCTAGAGAAATCTATCTGGGGCAAATTTCAGATAGCATAGGAAGATTTTTCTCTAACTTTAATTTGCTATAACACTTTGTTAACGCAAAAAAATTGATTTGTTTTTGCTAGTGCTGCTAGTTTCTTATTTTTACAAAAGGAGAAAAATACCAATTTTCATTTCTGGTGCCTATTTTCTCCTTGTCTTTCATTATTTTTTAGGCATTTATTAGGCGTTGCCTGGCATATAGGAAGGAAGATCGGATAGATGTCCAACAATTGGCATGTGACCCATACTTGCTTCCTCACATCCGCAAGTCTGTATCAATAAGCAGCCCAGCTGGAGCTGCTGTCGCCTCAACTTCTGGATCTTCTAATAACAGCTCTTCAAACTGAGCAGGAACAATAGGCCAAAAATATAGATATAACTGGAACTGCAGAAGGAAACGGAGAGAGTCAGACATGTTTTGAGATGCAGCCTTGGGACTGGCAAGAAGTCCACAAAATGGCTCCAAGAAACCAGGATCAGGTTCTTTGTTTTTCTCTTGCATTCTTGTCCCATCCGTAGAGCAAGGCATCATTGATTCTCAGCAAGGATTATGGCAACTTAAGTTAAGTAGCCAAGGAAAAGAAGATTGGTTGGTCTAGTGCTAAGCAACTGCAAAAGCACTAACTGCTCTGGGCAGTGAAAGGAAAAAGATGGTTCCATGTACCGTGAACTTCCAAACACTACGGACCCAGAGTGCGGTTCCATGATGCAGGATGCACACATTTAGTGTGAAGAAATGTGGATTTGGTGGCAGGGTAAAGAGGCTGGAGACAGCCCGCCGTCAATATTTAAAATATTTTTTTTCTTTTTTGTAAGACTACATCTCATTGGAGGGAAGGGGAATAAACCACATAGGTCAATGGTATAAGGTTGCACTGAAGGTTTGGCATAGGAGTTTTGTGCTCTCTGCAAGAGAGAGCAGTGTCCTGCCTATTGACAGCACCAGCATTAGCATGTTATCCCAAATAATTTCATCTTCAGTAACAAATTTGTTTTCTGGATACAAGATGAATTAAATAACAAGTCAGTGTGGCAGCAATTTTTCCTTAGAGTGACTTCATAATCTGTGAGAAAGGAATGCAATGCAGAGATTACATAACAACTTTGAGCTTAGATTTCTCTCCCTTCTCAGCATCCTAAGAAAGTTACTGTTTTGTCAGGAATTTGACAGTTGTCTGCTCTCCCCTTTGAATAAATGTTGAATTTCTCTTTATTTTTTTCTTTCTCTACTAGTTCTTTGATCCGTTCATTGGTGTTTCCTTTAGAAAACTGTGCTCTCTTTAACATGCACACAAATGCTGGCTCTAGCAAATCCTTTAGCCAAAGTTTTATCCTTCCTAATTTTTTCATATTTGCTTTCTGTATTGTTGTGGATGCATTTGATGCATTTACACCTTGAAGGAAGTGTATGTAAAAGAGACAGACTTTTCTAATCTTCTGTCTTGTGTTTAATTTTCTTCTTTCTTAGGAAGTGTTTTTTTTTAATATTCTTTAATTTTTTCATCTTCTAAAACAAATCTTAAAAACCAAAGAAGAATCCAGTTGCTTGAAACCAGTGGCAAAATGCTACTTCTACAAATAGTTGAAAGGATGTTTGCCCCAAATTATTTGAGCAGTACTGTATGATCAAGTACCCTGGCACAGACCTCAGTTCTTCACTTACAGCTGATGATTCTCAGTCCTCCCTTAACTTCTTATAGGTAATAGTACAAACTGAAGCAGTCAGAAGCCAAACATTTTGAAAGTCAAGAGAATTAGGAGGAGAGAGCAAAATTGGACATAAGGGCTTTGTATGTAAACTAATATGAGGATATCCTCTGGCTATATTTGCAGATTAGGTGATTAAGAGCTGATTATTAGGTCTATTTGGACTCCCCACCCTTGCTTCTGAAGCACTGCAGTGCATGCAGCATTTGGTCAGAAGATGATCCTCATATTTAAATGGAATTAAATGAGCCTGTACAAAGAGTAAGAAAACACAATATGTCACTCTCACAACTAAAGATACCATATGAACACTCATAGTGGTCATCTTTAAAATAATCTCCCCCAAATAGAGGCTATGACTACCTTCAGAATGGGAGGTTCTCATCAGTATGGACCGTGTCTTCCTTTTTTCTTTTACTCTCAATCATAGTTCTTGCTTCTTTTCCTAGAGAAACAACTGGTACTTAAGTATCTTTTACAGGAGACAAAATGTAAGCAGTCTCCAAGATTATCTAGATTGCTGGTGAATTACATCCATTGCACCTATTTCTCCCAATAAAGTTGTTAATTACCTTTGACACCTATGAAAATAATAGGGGTTTTTTTTGTTTTGTTTTTTTCCCTTCTCCCTTGTTTTTTCCCTTGCTTTCTTGTCTTAAAAGAAGTAACTCATGTGTCTGTTTCTTTCAGGGTTCATATTTGCCATGGTTACTCATAGCTCTTTCACCAAAATGCAGTTCACATTAAATGTCAAAATACATAGGCAGACATCACTGCTGCCATGACAAGATAAGGCTGCTTTCAGCTTGTTTGGACAGTAATGGTTGACCCATTATCCCATCTATTTGGGGATAGGGTTTGCTTTATTTTTCCATAGCTGAATCCAAAATATGAAAGATTGTCCATGTCAGTGCTCAGGTCTAACATTGTAGTGTTTTGCTTTTCAGTTTTCTTACTTGGAAATAGATAGAATCTGCATTTCATACTTTATCATTTAGTTGATTCTTGATCATTAGCAGGAATCCTATCCCAAATAAAACTTACAGTACTTAATTTTGCTTTAAAAGGAATCTCAATCATAATTTTTTAAAATCCCAATATGACCCTCCCTCCCTGTCCGTTCACCCATTAAATAATAACTGTCTGATATATTGATCTTCATTAATTGTACCTGAGCAGAAGCTTCTATTCTTCATGGAGTTCATTACTAAACCTGGCTAAATCAGTCTGGATGAGAAATACAGACTATGAGTTTTTCATTTCTTTAAGCGGTTGCTGAACTGTTTTATTTCAGGTATCCAAGCCTTTTTGTTGCCACACTGTTCATTTAACTGAAAGGGAAAAGGAAAGGTGTATGGATTTGTGACTTGAAACTATGCCAGACTGTTTTGGCTTTGCCCTACAGACAAAAATATGAATATTAAACACGTTTTCAAAAATGCAATCTTTTCACTTGCCTGGTTTTATATTTAAGCTGTGTTATTAGGGAGGCATGAAAATCATGAGCTGTATAAAAGACATTCACTGATCCTGGTCAAACAATACAAGCAAATTGTTGGAGTACATAAAAATACTATTTCAAAAAGATGTTTCTCTAATAGGAATAGGAAGATCTGATAGATTTGTAAGTCAATTGTAAAAGGAAAAAAGAAAAGTGGGCAGAGATGGAGTGCTACCCTCCCTTAAATATAAATAATCATGTAAATGATTCGTCAAATGCAAGAGTTTTAAATTGGAGGCCAAATCCATCATGCTGGGGAAATCTCCATGATTGTTTGCCTTAAATGTTCTTTAGTATCAGAAATTCCTAGTGAAATTTTAGAACTTTCTCCAGATAGATACTTGGACAGGACCTCTGCCCCCAATATAATATAGGCTACTATAATTCCTGAAGGCAACAAACTACTGAATTCCTGGCTAATATCCATTTCTAATAATTTTACTTTTTTGCTGTAGCTTTTTCCCATAATAGTAAGATCATTCCCAGGATTAATCTCTTTATTTTGAAATAAAATTTCCCCATCCATTAATACAGAAATATAGTGATAAGAGACCTACAACAGACTAAACAAAACTGCCTAAAGCTGTGCAAACTTCAAGAATTACTGTATTCAGAAACTGCTTTGGACCTCACCTAAACACAGCTCATTTCTATTGATTAAAGGTGTCTTCTGTTTTTCATACTTGCACCAGAGTGATGCCACTCTTTAAGGAAGGTAATGATTCCTTTAAAAAGTAGCAAATGATTCCTTTGATTTTTTTAAAAGCATAAAAAAGCATATTTTTTTCATTCTTATGTATGCAAAAGCCTAAAAAGGTCAGGCTCTTTTAGTGAATTGCAGAGAAGTGTTGTTCTCATGTAACATTTGAAATAATTTCAACTTATTTTCAAACTTATAAAATCCTTACAATTTTTTAGCTTATAAGACACCAGCCTGTGATAAATTACTGGCATTATCATGTCCAAAATACATTCTATGGGAACATAGTTCATTATATCTTGTAGCATGTTATTTTACTTTTTTTCCTAAAATATTTTACCTTCATTAAGAAAAGGAAGACAAAATTTCAAACAAGGTAAACATCTAATGATCAGGAACAATCTATAAATTATTTAAATTTCTCATATCTGCAACTTTCAACTGGGTGAAATGGTGCATCATAGGGCAAAACCTAGTCAACAAAGGGATTTCAAGCAGGCTAACTTACAAAATGATGGAACCATTACTCCTGATTGAATGAAATTTGAGAAAGTTGTGGCTGCATCAGAGCTGCATGGTTGCTGATGCAGTCATGCTATTCACATTTTCAAAATTCCATGACATTTTCCCAGTCACTTGTGCAATCCCTCAATTCTTCCCCACTCAGAAGTAGCCACAGTCTGCCTGGCTAGAAGGGAAGGGAGGAAAGGAAAGAGAGAAAAGGGAAGGAAGGAAGGAAGGAAGGAAGGAAGGAAGGAAGGAAGGAAGGAAGGAAGAAAGGAAAAGATTTCTAATGCTCTCTGCCAGATTTCCACAAGGGAATTCAGTGGGTAAGCTGATAGGAAGTCAGAAGTAGGTCTCACTCCCACAGATTGTTTGTCCTCCAGTAATAATCCTGTTTCTCTATTTAAGTAAGCAAATATTTAAAATGATGACACATCCTTATTTGCAACAAGAGGAGATCAGCTTGACAACTTCCCACAAGTGAATTGGAACACTTGCAGGGAGAAAATCGGGATCATGTTATAGCAGCTGATGGTGGAAGCATGCCAATGCCTTTGGACTTGCAACTTCCTTCCTGAGAAACCTGCAGGAAAGGTTGCAAATTGGAATTCTTACACAAATATACACAACAAAATGCTTAAAAATGCAAATAAGATCCCTTTTCATGTATCCCATGTAAATCTGTAATATTACAGTTGGGAAAAGTCTCCCAGCCCCCACTTAAAAACTGCAATTATAAGCCCTCTATTGGATTATAAGCCCTCTAATGTCCACACTTATCCCAGGAAAGTAGAACAATGATGTTCCATCTATTTCTGGAAAAATGAGAAGATTGCCTTTCAGTTTCAAACAAATATAGCTGATAAAGTACATGGACCCATTTCAATATGGCTTTTGGCTACTGAATTGCAGCAAGATAGGGGCTGCAAGTACTTCTGGGGGAGTAGTATTCCATTAAGAATTATTACTGAGAAGCCCTATCATATCATAGATGCCTCACAAACTTTATGAAAGATACGAACTTAGGGTAGGCATCTTGATCAACACTGTATGTTCAATGCTTGCAAAATGCTGTC